GGAGGACATGGGAGTGACATCATAAAGGGTAAAAAGGCTCCAGAGAACTCATTGCTGTACATGGCCTCAGTGCAGAGCAGCACCGGTCATGTATGTGGAGGATTTCTTATCACTGCAGACTTTGTGCTCACTGCTGCACACTGTGCCAAAGAGTAAGTCATTATTCTTTTTCAGTGGCAGAATGTGACTGACAGCATTTAAAACTGATTTAGAAAGTGTATTGATTACAACGATTACTGTTCCAGAAATCCCACGCACGTTGTTCTCGCCACTCACAATCTCGAGAAGTCCCATCAAGAAAAAATAACAATTAAAAAGAAATTCAAGCCCAACTTTTATCAAACGGCTTGGCACGGTGATGACATCATGCTCCTTAAAGTAAGTATGAACTAAACTAATACTGAAACATTAAAGGTTTAAGGTGATATCATTTTGTGATCTAATTATTTACACTGCATAACAGTGCGAGCATTTCTAATGCTAACTGTCTCCAGCTTTCCAGGAAAGTTCAACTAAACAAGAGAGTAAAAATAATTCCACTGCCATCTGCTAAAGTACAACTGAGAAAAAATGAAGTGTGTCAGGTGTCTGGATGGGGAAAAACTATAACTGCTGGTGAAACTGTTAATGAGCTGAGAGTGGTGGATGTGCCTGTCATCAACAAAAAGGTGTGTAAGGAACTGTGGCCTGGTCTTCCTGCTAATGTAATCTGCGCAGGTGGTTATGGCACAGACAAAGGGTTCTGTCAGGTATGTTTCCCGTCCAATCACTGACGTTGTAATTTGGCCTGTTATCGAAAACTGAAACTTAAAAAGACAACTCAAAAGTCTTCCTCCTCCTCACAGGGTGATTCAGGCGGCCCGCTGGTATGCAAAGGAATCGCTGTTGGTGTCGTTTCCTTCAACAAAAAAAGAAACTTTGACTATCCTGATGTACCCAACGTTTTTACAGACATCTCAAAATACCGCCTGTGGATCAACTCAATTCTAAAAAACCCAAATAGTGATAAACAAAACCCATAAAGTTTTGGTTTTGTATTATTAAAATGTAAACACGGTGCTGGCGATTGCTTCATCGGAGGAACCAAAAACAGAAATAAAAATATCTCGCAGTCCAAATTTCATCTGTAATATTGCCGTGAGAAGGTAAAAATGTTCCCTAAACAATAACAACTAAAAATCTAAAGAGAATAATTCTGTCATATGATCACTGCTACAGTTTGCTGTTCCCACATGACTAAAGTAACACAATCGGTGTGAGTCGGTGAGAGTGGGAGTGACTGCAGTGGGTCTAAATAAAGTATCAAAGGTGTCTCCCTCCCCATGTGACCACTATCAACAGTACAACATAGTAGCTGACAGGCAAAATTGTTAAATTGTTTCACAGAATCAGGTTATACAGTATACCACTGTAGTCTAAGTATAGCGACAATAAAGGAAACTTTATCTTTTGTCTCTTTGTCTGTTTATTTACTCATTTCATTAGTGTTATTTCCTTTATTGCAGTCTGTGTGATGTGTATAAGCTGACAGGCAGGAGGAAAAAGAAAGAAAAAGAAATGGGAAGGAACCATGCCACCCAGGGTGGCACGGTTCCCCCTCTTTTGGTGGTCCTCCTTGGGTCCTCGTACTCTGGGGCCTCTGGAT